TTGTTTCAGTAGCGGGTTAGTGCGCCCATAACCCCCCAGGCGAACGCGCCTGTAACCCTCTCCAGGATCAATCCGGCATCCACAGTGCATATCTGCTGACACCCCCCCACACTGGGAGGCCCAGGACTAAGCACAGCGGCAACGACCTACATGTGCATACACCGGGAATCGAACCCGAGACCGCTCTGATACCATGTCAGAATCCCAACCACTAGATCATTGGGATAAAAGGGCTTGTTTCAGTAGCGGGTTAGTGCGCCCATAACCCCCGAGGCGAACGCGCCTGTAACCCTCTCCAGGATCAATCGGGCATCCACAGTGCAGATCTACTGACAGGTCTACCTGGGGGGGGGGGAGGGACGGAGTGCGGTAGGGGAAGAGGCGGTAGTAGGGGACCGACTCGTCGAACGTGACGTCCTGGGAGGACAGAACACGGCGAGAGGTGGGGTGGTAGAACTTCCACCCAGGCGCGTCAGGGGGGAACCCCAGGAAGACACAAGGAGCAGCACGAGGGGACAGCTTGTCCGCAGACAAGTCGCGGACAAACGCCCGAGATCCCCAGACCCGGAACGCCGACGCATCGCCAACCTTCCTCGTCCACAGCAAGGCTGGGGAGGTCTCCAGCCTGGAGACCCTGGGGTGAAGGTTGATATGATGCGCCGCGTACCTCACCGCAAACGGCCACAGAAAATGGGGGGCAGCCGCATGCATCATAGACGTACGAGCGACGTCCATGACCATGCCAATGCGGCGCTCTGCAATCCCATTTTGCTGCGGAGAGTCCGGAAGCGTGAAGGTCTGACGGATGCCTCGTGCACGACAGTAAGCTCGCAGAAGGCCAGAGGAAAACTCTCCGCCTCTGTCCGAGCGCAGACGCAGAACAGGAAAGTCCGAGCCAAAGCTCTGCCTGAGCTGGAGACGAGCTGCGCGGATCCAGTCGATCAGCACCTTAGTGACATCACCCTTGGTGCGCAAGGGGAAGACTGTGGTGTAACGCGAGTAGTCGTCAACAACGAGCACGAAGTAGCGCTCGTGACCCTGCCCATGGACGCGGGGCTGGGCCCCACACGTCCATGTGAAGCGTCTGCAACGGGGCCTCTGTCGGAGGAAACTGGGAGGAGTGAGGGGCAGCACGCTGGCGCCCCTCGACACAGTGGACACAGGTAGGGCCAGGGCCCTGAGGAAGGGGAGGGAGGGACCGGGGGAGACCAGACACTAGAAGACGGGAGGCCATGCCTCTGAGCCGAAGCAGAGAGGGGTGACCAAGGCGGTGGTGCCAGAGGAGAGTCTCGTGAGAGAGGAGACGACATGAACAGGGGGCAGACTCAGGACCAGACCTGGACGCTGCAGCAAACACCTGACCTGACGCAGCGACCCTACCAGACTCAGTAACAGGAGGAGACGCAGTGGTCAGTGTGTACAGGCTCGACCCCGGCTGACGGGTAAACATAGCCAGGTGTCGGCCTGTGCTAGCCTCTGTACAGTGCGTCACCCGCTGACGCACAGGAGTGAACTGGTGTACACCCGCATCCTGTAGGTCACCACCACTCACCAGGTTCGTAGAGAACGAGGGGAGGTAGAGACCAGACAGGGTGCCAGAGGGTGCCGCCGAACACGGGAGGACTGTCGAGAAGCGAGACAGGACAGGAACCCAAGAGGGGTCAGCCAGAGACACTGCAACCGGCCGACTAAGCGGCGTGAGTGTGGTGCGGTCCCGAAAGGAGCGAGACGCCCCAGAGTCAAGGGTGGAGGTGAGGGAGGCCGAAGCCGACGTAGTACCCGAGAGCGCAGACTCACCAGTACCTGAGGACGCAGACACACTAGCAACTAGAGCAGCAGCGTCGCAAGCACCTAGGGCAGCCACCTCACCAGTATCTAGAGCAGCAGTCTCAATGCCCGGATCGGGCGGGAAACACCGGTAACAGACACCCTCATCACTAATAGACACAGCATACATGGCAGAGAGAATAGCATCAAAGTCAAGATCATAGATGGCAACACCCGCCCTAGACAGCTCGCCCCAGCGAGGGATCTCTGAGGCCTCCGGGAACTGGTGACGCCACGCGTCCATCAGGCGGCCAAAGCAGCGCTGGGTGGGGTGGGCTCCCCCACACTGCTCACCCGCACGGTCGCCGGTGCGCAGAACGTAGGAGCACGGACCAAAACCCCCACCCCGCTGGCGTGCAGTGTACCACTCACGGAGCTGCTGAGGGGACAAGGTCTCACGACCGTGCTGGTGCTGCCGGCGCGAGCCACCACCGGAGCCACTCCTCTGCGAAGACCCGCGACCAGCTCCATCGCCACCCCCGCCGCCTCCGCCGCCTCCGCCGCCTCCGCTGCTGCCGCCGCCTCCGCCTCCGCCTCCGCCTCCACCGCCGCCACCTCCGCCACCTCCGCTCCCACCGCCACCGCCGCCGCCACCTCTGCCTCCACTGCCGCCACCGACCCCTCCACCCCCACCTCCACTCCCACCGCCACCTCCACTCCCCCCACCACCTCCACCTCCACCGCCCCCGCTCGCTCCTCCAGTGCCCTTGCCCCCCTTGCCCTTGCCAGGGCGGCGTCTCCCGCTAGGGGCAGACGCCGCACTGACCGACTCAAGACCAAGGAGGTCTGCCGCAGCAGCAGAGGCAACAGAGGGCAGAAGGGGGGAGGGGGAACACCCCTCAAAGATGGGGGTGCGCGGGTCACCTCGAGAGGCTCCTATAGGGAATATGCTCTTCTCTATCGCTAGGAGGGCCTTCTCGACGAGGTCGACAGTGAGAGTGGTGGGACAGACTGAGAGGAAGTGGTCCCTGACTACATGAAGGGAGTTAGGGAGGCGAGTGACTATGTAGTAGAGAGTGATGTACATGGGGGGGGGGTTCTTGGCGCAGAAGTCAGCAGGAAGTGCAGCGCGGTAGCGAGTGTCACTAGTGCGGAGGTGCGTAATCAGGTCAGCTGCTTTGGGAAAGGCAGCAAGGTCACGAAAGAGGTACGGTAGCATGAGACGGCTCAGTGCAGCAGTGGCAGGGGAGGAGTAGCGCGCAACTACAGGGCCGTACAAGGTCTGAGCACTCTTGTACTGACTAAAGTACGCACGCTCGGAGGTAGGGAGGTGGCGACGCACAGTAAGACGTGCAGCAGCGTCGCGCGTGGACCACTGGGAGCGAACAGTGGCGTCAGCATCAGCAGTAGGGGCAGGGGAAGCGCCAGAGGTGAGGTCAAAGAGAGAGAGACCGTCTGCCCTATCGCACTGTAAGAACAGCTGGAGGTCATCATCCCAGACCTCAAAGTCAATGGCTCGACCCTCAGCGTCAAAGGCGAGGACACTAGGGGTAGCCATGACCACAGTAGACTAGCAGTGCAAAAGTATGGGGGAGGGCAGTGCAGTGACAGAGGCGCTGCTCTCATCAGACAGGGCGGTTTGGGCAGCTCGGTAGTACAGCAGCTCGGCAACACGGCTGCTCGGGCAACTCGGCAGCTACTGCGGCTCGGCGGCACCCGCGGCTCGGCTCCTCAGCAGCTCAGGCGGCTCGGGCGGCTCGGGCGGCTCGGGCGGCTCGGGCGGCTCGGGCGGCTCGGGCGGCTAAGGCGGCTTGGGTGGCTCAGGCGGCTCAGGCGGTGCGGGCGGCTCGGCTGCGTAGGGTGGCAGGGCCACTGGTAGGGCGGTGGGGCCACTGGTAGGGCGGCGGGGCCGCAGGTAAAAGGTAGGGCGACGGGGCCGGGGCCGGGGCGCAGATAGGGCGACGGGGCCGGGTCGAGGGTAGGGCGACGGGGCCGGGGCGCACGTAGGGCGATGGGGCCGGGGTCGCAGGTAGGGCGACGAGGCCGGGGCGCAGGTGGGGCGACGGGGCCGGGTCGAAGGTAGGGCGACGGGGCCGGGGCCGGGGCGCAGGTAAGGCGGCGGGGCCAGAGTCGCAGTGGGGCGACGGGGCCGGGGTCGCAGGTAGGGCGACAGGGCCGGGGTCGCAGGTAGGGCGACGCGGTCGGGGTCGCAGGTAGGGCGACGGGGCCGGGGTCGCAGGTGGGGCGACGGGGCCGGGGTCGCAGGTGGGGCGACGGGGCCAGGGCGCAGGTAGGGTAACGGGGCCGGGGCGCAGGTAGGGCGACGGGGCCGGGGCGCAGGTAGGGCGACGGGGCCGGGGCGCAGGTAGGGCGACGGGGCCGGGTCGCAGGTAGGGCGACAGGGCTGGGTCCGGGGCGCAGGTAGGGCGGCGGGGCCAGGGTCGCAGTGGGGCGACGGGGCCGGGGTCGCAGGTAGGGCAACGGGGCCGGGGTCACAGGTAGGGCGACGGGGCCGGGGTCGCAGGTAGGGCGACGGGGCCGGGGTCGCAGGTGGGGCGACGGGGCCGGGGTCGCAGGTGGGGCGACGGGGCCAGGGAGCAGGTAGGGTAACGGGGCCGGGGCGCAGGTAGGGCGACGGGGCCGGGGTCGCAGGTAGGGCGACGGGGTCGCTAAGGTGGCGCGACAAAGGCAGAGAGGGGAGCGCGACTCGGGGAGCGCGCTCCGGCCAGGAAAAAAAATTTGCGATGTGGTGGGCCCTAGGCACAGTTCCCACGAGGGAACCTGCTCGATACCATGAGAAGATTGAAACGAGAATGAATGATCTATGAATGAAGTGAGTACAAGTACTAACCCTAATTGGGTTGTACCCCCTAAGGGATACCCCACTACAGCCTACACAACATGCATAAGCTATAATGTTCTGACAAAGCACAAGTTCAAGGCCACAAGGCCAGTTCACAAGCAGGAGTACATATATACATACATATAAGGCTAGACAAGCAAGAGCAGGTGAATATATATATGTAACAGTACAAGCAAGGTCAAGAGGTGAGCAAGTGAGGCAAGGCAGGCACAAGACCCAGCTGAGTACAGAAGCGCTGATGATCACAAGGCGCAAGCGCCTTGGTGAAGATATCAGCTGTGTTGGCCTCAGGGGCCACGTACGCAAGGCGCAGCTGACCACGCTGCTGTAGCTCACGAGCAAGGAAGTAGCGAAGAGCAATGTGCTTCGTTCAGTGCTCCAGTCTCTGCTCTCGACACAAGGCCAGCATGGCCTTGTTGTCTACGTATAGCACTGGAGGAGAACGAGGCGGCTCTCCGAGGTCAGTCAGCAGGTAGGTGAGCCAGCGAAGCTCCTGTGCAGCCATGGCCCCGGCGTAGATCTCAGCCTCACAACTGGAGCCGAGAATAGAAGACGAGCGGGTAGCCCGCCACGAAGCAGAGCCGGAACCAAGGCTGAAGGTGTAACTCTGTGACGACCGCTGCGTAGCCTGGTCGTCAGCCCAAGAAGCGTCCGCGTGCCCAGTGAGGACCACTGGACTCTGCCCTCCAAGCACAAGCCCCATGCCCGACGTACTGCACAAGTAGCGCAACACCCTCTTCGCTGCAGCCATGTGCTCTGGTCGGTGTCTCCCAGGAGCAACATAGTGTGCCAATATGCTAAGAGGGTATGCAAGGTCAGGTCGTGTGCAGGTCATCAGGTGCATGAGACAGCCAACAAGCTCTGGGTACGGGCCACTCGACTCTACGGACTCATCCGAAGGCTGAGCTAAGAGCGAGTGGCGAGTAGGCAGAGGAGTGGCCTGAGGCGAGGAGTACGTGAAGCCGAAGCGTTGAAGGACCTGCTGCACCATGTGTGACTGAGTCAGGGTAATGGTGCGGCGTGCTCTGTCCCGGGTGATATGCAAGCCAAGGTAGCTGCGCAGTTCACCCAGGTCTGTGCACGTGTGTCTCTTCAGCAGCTCGGACTTCACGTGGGCGAGTCCAGCAGTGTCAGCTGTGGCAAAGACCAAGTCGTCGACGTACACGAGGATGTAGAACGGCGGCAAAGAAGTGTCGGTGCGCAGAAACAGCGACGGGTCGGCAGTAGAAGGAGCAAACCCAAGAGCCGCAAGCGTAGTCCTCAGTGTGTCGTGCCACTCACGCGGCGCCTGGCGGAGACCGTAGACTGGCCACCAGAGGCTCCACTGGGTGCCAGGAGGAAAAGTCCCAGTGAAGCCAGGTGGGCGGCGCAGCCAGATCTCCTCGTGCAGGCTGCCCTGCAAGAAAGCAGTGCTGATGTCAAGAGAGTGTAGCTCGTAGTCACGGTGAGCAGCTATGTGCAGCAGTACCCAAAGAGTGGTCATCTTCGGGGTGGGAGAGAAGGTCTGAAAGTAGTCAACTCCCTGCCGCTGTCTGAAGCCACGAGCCACGTAACGCGCCTTGAAGACAGGCGGGGAACCCGGCGGCCGCTTCACCCTGAAAATCCACATGCCACTGACGATGTTCGCCCCAGGCGGGGGAACGTCGTCAACGTAGGTGCCTGTGGACTTCCACAAAGCCATCTCTGCGTCCATAGCTGCTTGCCACTGAGAGGAGTAGGGACCCTCTATTGCCTCCGCGTAAGAGCGCGGAGTCGGGATGTCAAGTGCATCCGGGTCTCCCTCAGGGGTAAGCAGTACGGACATGAGATGAGGTGAAGCAGCAGCCAAACACTGGAACTCCTCCTGCCTGTCCTCAAGGACGTCCGTGCCAAGGGCACACTCACCCCCGACGGACGGAGGACAGAGAGACTCAGACTCAGCGACAAGACTAGTTGCGTAGTCTAGACGACAGCGAGCAGCAAAGTCGACGAGCTCAGCAACTAGGGCAGACGCAGCACTGGACTCAAAGGATGGGTCAGTGACAACAGCAGCAAGGAGATGCGTGACAGTAGGACTGGCAGCACGAAGAGAGTCCGACTCTGGGTCGGCAAGAGCAGGAAGAGAGGACTCAGGAGGAGAAGGTAAAGGGGCACGCAGAGGAGCAGTAGACGGACGCAGAGACATCCGGTGCGTGCCAGGGACAGGAGGAGGACGCTGACGCGAACCACGACCACTAGTGCGAGCAGGACGGACAGGCGACGCAGGGCGAGACGCAGGCTCACGACGCTCAGCAAGACCTCTAGTAGGACCAGTGTAGGGAGAAGGAGCAGGCAGTGGGTAGGCCGGCTGTAACTTCAACTGCGACGGGAGAGGCTGTGGACACTCTAAGGGAGGAGGAGGAGCAGTGGAAGGCGGGAGACCAAGAACCTGCTGGAGGAGCGGAACAAAGTACGGCCGAGGCCGCGCGGCGACTCCAGACACAGCAGGAATAGCACCAGTACCCCCAGCGGCAGCACCAGCGCCAGCAGCACCTCCAGCTCCAGTACCTCCAGCAGCACCAGTAGCACCCCTAGAAGGACCGCCTCCAGGACCGACAGCAGTAGCTTTAGCGCCAACACCCTCAGCAGCTCCAGCTCCAGTTGTATCCGCAGGCCCAGCAACTCCAGTACTCCCAGTACGAGCACCTCCGGGACCCGCGGCACCGGCACCCTCAGCAGCCGAAGAACCTCCAGCTCCAGCAGCACGCCTCCAGCGCCGGGCAAACCACTCGCGCAGCTCCTGTGGAGAGAGTGGCTCCCGCCGAGACGAAGCACCTGGAGAACCTCCAGACGCCACACGAGCAGGCCCAGCTCCCTCAGGCTCCGCACCCCCAGGCTCAGCACCTCCAGGTGTAGCACCCCTAGGCTCAGCACCCCCAGGCGTCGCACTCCCAGGCTCAGCACCCCCAGGCTCAGCACCCCCAGTCTCAGCACCCCCAGGCTCAGCACCCCAAGTAGTAGCACCCTCAGGCTCAGCACCCTCAGCAGCACCAGAGTCACAAGTAACCTCGACAGGCTCGACTGCGTCTACCTAGGACACACCTGAAGGGGCAGGACCCTGAGGGGGGAGGGGGTCTACCGGGGGGGGACCTGGCACAGGGAAGAGCGGTGGCAGGGGGAGGGACGGAGTGCGGTAGGGGAAGAGGCGGTAGTAGGGGACCGACTCGTCAAACGTGACGTCCTGGGAGGACAGAACACGGCGAGAGGTGGGGTGGTAGAACTGCCACCCTGGCGCGTCAGGGGGGAAGCTAAGGAAGTCACAAGGAGCAGCACGAGGGGACAGCTTGTCCGCAGACAAGTCACGGACAAACGCCCGAGATCCCCAGACACGGAACGCAGACGCATCCCCAACCTTCCCCGTCCACAGCAAAGCTGGGGAGGTCTCCGGCATGGAGACCCTGGGCTGAAGGTTGATATGATGCGCCACGTACCGAACCGCAAACGGCCACAGAAAATGGGGGGCAGCCGCATGCATCATGGACGTACGGGCGACGTCCATGACCATGCCAATGCGGCGCTCAGCAATCCCATTTTGCTGTGGAGAGTCCGGAAGCGTAAAGGTCTGGCGGATGCCTCGTGCACGACAGTAGGCTCGCAGATGGCCAGAGGAGAACTCTCCGCCTCTGTCAGAGTGCAGACGCAGAACAGGAAAGTCCGAGCCGAAGCTCTGCCTGAGCTGGAGACGAATTGCGCGGATCCAGTCGATCAACACCTCAGTGACATCACCCTTGCTGCGCAAGGGGAAGACTGTGGTGTAACGCGAGTAGTCGTCAACCACCAGCAGGAAGTAGCGCTCGTGACCCTGTCCACGGACGCGGGCCGGGCCCCACACGTCCAGGTGAAGCGTCTGCAGCGGGGCCTCTGTCGGAGGAAACTGGGAGGAGTGAGGGGCAGCCCGCTGCCGCCCCTCCACACAGGGGACGCAGGTAGGGTTTAGAGACCGGGGAAGTCCAGAGACAAGGACACAGGAGGCCATGCTTCGGAGACGAAGCAGGGAGGGGTGACCAAGGCGGTGGTGCCAGAGGAGAGTCTCGTGAGACAGGAGGCGACACGAGCAGGGGGCAGACTCAGGACCAGACCTGGACGCTGCAGCAAACACCTGACCCGACGCAGCTACCTGACCAGACGCAGTGACTGGAGGAGACGCAGTGGTCAGTGTGTACAGGCTCGACCCCGGCCGACGTGTAAACGTGGCCAGGTTTCGGCCTGTCCGAGCGTCCGTCCAGTGGGTCACCCTCTGACTCGCAGGAGTGAACTGAACCCCCGCATCCTGTAGGTCAGCACCACTCACCAAGTTCGTAGAGAACGAGGGGAGGTAAAGGCCAGACAGGGTGCCAGAGGGGGCCGCCGGACATGGGAGGACAGTGGAGAAGTGAGCAAGGACAGGACCCCCAGAGGGGTCTGCCAGAGAGACTGCAACTGGCCGACCAAGCGGCGTGAGTGTGGTGCGGTCTCGAAAGAAGGAGCGAGAAGCCTCCGGGTCTAAAGTGAAGGTGTGGGAGGCCGAAGCCGACGCAGTACCTGAGAGCGCAGACTCACCAGCACCTGAGGAAGCAGACGCACTAGCACCTAGAGCAGCAGCCTTGCTAGTACCAAGAGCAGCAGCCTCACCAACACCTAGAGCAGCAGCCTCAATGCCCGGGTCGGGCGGAAATCATCGGTAACAGTCACCCTCATCACTAATAGTCACAACATACATAGCAACAAGAATAGCATCAAAGTCAAGGTCAAAGATAGCTACCCCTGCCCTAGACAGCTCGCCCCAGCGAGGGATCTCAGTGGCCTCAAGGAACTGGTGACGCCAAGCGTCCGTCAGGCGGCCAAAGCAGCGCTTGGTGGAGTGCGCACTCCCACAATGCTGACCCGCGCGGTCGCCGGTGCGTAGGACGTAGGTGCACGGACCAGTACCCCCACCCCGCTGGCGTGCAGCGTACCACTCACGGAGCTGCTGAGGGGGGGGGATGTCACGAGTGCGCTGCTGCTGCTGCTGCTGACCACCACCGGAGCCGACCCTCTTCGCAGCGCCACCCCGACCAGCTCCACCTCCTCCGCTACCGCCTCCTCCACCGCCGCCACCTCCGCCACCTCCGCTCCCACTGGCACCGCCGCCGCCGCCGCCGCCTCCACTGCCGCCACCGACACCTCCACCCCCGCCACCACCCCCACCGCCACCCCCACCCCCTCCGCCGCCTCCACCGCCGCCTCCACCGCCCCCGCTAGCTCCTCCAGCGCCCCTGCCCCCGTTGCCCTTGCCAGGGCGGCGTCTCCCGCTAGGGGTAGACGCCGCACCGACCGACTCAGGCCCAACGAGGTCGGCCGTAGCAGCAGAGGCAACAGAGGGCAAAAGGGGGGAGGGGGAACACCCCTCAAAGATGGGGGTGAGAGGGTCACCACGAGAGGCTCCTACAGCTACTATGCTCTTCTTTGCTGCTAGGAGGGCCTTCTCGAGGAGGTCAACAGTGAGAGCGGTGGGTCAAACCGAGAGGAAGTGGTCCCTGACTACGCGAAGGGAGTCAGGGAGCCTGGTGACTATGTAGTAGAGGGTGATGTACATGGGGGGGGGGGTTCTTGGCGCAGAACTCAGCAGGAAGCGCAGCGCGGTAGCGAGTGTCACTAGTGCGGAGGTGTGTAATGAGGTCAGTGACTGTGGGAAAGGCAGCAAGGTCAGGGAAGAGGTACGGTAGCATGAGGCGGCTCAGTGCAGCAGTGGCAGGGGAGGAGTAGCGTGCAACTACAACGTCGTACAAGGTCTGAGCACTCTTGTACTGACTAAAGTGCGCACGCTCAGAGGTAGGTAGGTGGTGACGCACAGCAAGACGTGCAGCAGCATCGCGTGTGGCCCATTGTGAGCGAACAGTGGCGTCGGCATCAGCAGTAGGGGCAGGAGAGGCACCAGAGGTGAGGTCAAAGAAGGAGAGACCGTCTGCCCTATCGCACTGTAATAAAAGCTGCGGGTCATCTACCCAGACGTCAAAGTCAATGGCCCGACCCTCAGCGTCAAAAGTGAGGACACTAGGGGTAGCCATGACAGCAGTAGACTAGTAGCACGAGCAGTAGGGTAAGGGCAGTGCAGTGACAGAGGCGCTGCTCTTACCGGGGTGGGCGGCTCGGGCGGCTCGGCGGCTCGGCGGCTCAGCAACTCGGCGGCTCGGGCGGCTCGGCGGTACGGCGGCTCGGCAGCAACTGCGGCTCGGCGACTCGGCGGCTCGGGCGGCTCGGCGGTACGGCGGCTCGGCAGCAACTGCGGCTCGGCAACTCGGCGGCTCGGGCGGCTCGGGCGGTACGGTGGCTTGGGCGGTACGGCGGGTCGGGCTGCTCGGGCGGCTCGGGCGGCTCGGGCGGTACGGCGGCTCGGGTGGATCGGGCGGCGCAGCAGCTGCTCGGCGGCGCCGGCGGCTCGGTGGTGTCAGCGGGGCTGCGTGGGGACGGCGGCGGGGCCGGGTGGAGCGGCGGCAGGGCCGGGTGGAGCGGCGTCGCGGCCGGGTGGAGCGGCGTCGGGGCCGGGTGAAGCGGCGTCGGGGCCAGTAGAGGCGGTGCCTGGGCCGCAGGGGTAGGCGACGGGGCTAGCAGAGGCGGCGCCGAGGCAAGGGTAGGCGACGGGGCCGCTAGGGCAGCTAGGAGGGGGGGGGGGGTCGCGACGGCGGCTTGAAGAGGCCGCAAGGTTGGCACGAAGGGGCCGTGAGGGCGGCGCGACGCGACGATGCCGCGAGGGCGGCGGATCGGGGCCGCGAGGGCAGCGGATCGGGGCCGCGAGGGCGGCGCGACGCGGCCGCTAGGGCGGCGCGACGTGGCGCGGCCGCTAGGGCAGCGCGATGGGGCCGCGAGGGGCCGCTAAGGGGCCGTGAGGGGCCGTGAGGGCGGCGCGATGGGTCCACTAGGGGCCGTGAGAGGAGAGACCCACGGAGCGCGACTCGGGCAGGGACTGAGCGCGCTCCGGGCAGGAAAAAAAATAGAATCGGTGGGCCCTAGGAACAGTTCCCACGAGGGATCCTGCTCTATACCATGTGAAAATTAGAACGAGAATGAATGAACTATGAAACAGTTGGGTACAAGTACTAACCCTAATTGGGTTGTACCCCTTATGGGCTACCCCACTACAGCCTACACAAATGCATAAGCTATAATGTTCTGACACCGGCGCCCTTAAAAACCGAGGTCAGCATGGTAAATTGTCAAGTTATGTGGGTTTGAAATAGTGTTGGTTAAACCTTGAAAACAATAATTTCGGCAAAGTTAGTGTAGCGAGAAAGAGAGCGATTGACGATGGGAAAAAGTGTCTCGCCAAACGTGAAGTGATGGTGACGATACTGTGCAGCTTTGACAAATTTGCAGAACTGTGTGGGGCGACTGGAACAAGTGTCGCAAGGATTGTTCTTCGGCCAATCAGGTTCAAGTAGGGGAGAATGTCCTCGCACGATGCAACTACCAGCAAAAACGGAAACGGAAAGCACCAACAACCTTAGAACGAGTGAGGAGAAGAAAACACCACGATCAATCTAGCTAAGCACTGCACGTGTGAAATAACCGCAGTAGCTACCAACAACAGAAAGTTCAAACGTAGGTGATGTGCCAGAACATGTACATGCGGGGTCGCAGGAAGGAGCGTAAAGAAGAGCGCGACACAACGCGATATGGGAGTACTGCGGCGACTCGACACGAGGACTGCGGAAGGCGGAGACGGAGGGGAGAGGTGGAAGAAAGACTGATCGCGCGATAGGAGAGCTGTTCGCTGGCACAACTTGCGCCCGACGCAACGCCAGACGGCGGAGGAGAGGAGGAACAGATACTGGGGGTGGAAGGGAGAAAGGGAGGGAAAGAAAATTGGGGCTTGGCGCGCGACAGGAGAGATGCTCCGCGGTTGACGCCAACTGCGGCAGGCGCATTGGCTCGCTGCCCGCTCCTCTTCGCGTAGAGGCGTGCGCTGCTCACGGACAGAGCGGAATAAGGCGCAAGGATAACGCGCGGAAGGGGATGAGGCGCGGATTCCCTTGATTCCCCTCCTTTCCCCCCTTGATTCCCCTCCTTTCCCCCCTTGCTTCCCCTCCTTTCCCCCCTTGCTTCCCCTCCCTTCCCGCCCTGCTTCCCTCCTTTCCCCCCTTGCTTCCCCTATTTTCCTGCCCTGCTTCCCTCCTTTCCCCCCCTACCCCCCCTACTTCCCCCCTACTTCCCCCCCTACGAGGAGAAGCACGCGCGGCCAACGAGGAGAAGCGCGCGTGGGCGACGAGGAAAAGCGTGTGCGGGCGACAAAGAGAAGCGCGCGTGGGGGACGAGGTGAAGCGCACGTGGGCGATGAGGTGAAGCGCGCGTGGGCGACGAAGCGCGCGCGGGAGACGAGGAGAAGCGCAGGATAGTGGGAAGAGCGGGCGACGAAGGGAAGCGAGGGCGATGAATAGTAGATATCGTGAGCGCAACGCCAGACAGCGTGAGTGACTAGTGTTGGCCGCAAAAAAATGCCTCTATGAGCTAGCTTTTATCGCCCTGCCGCGCGTTTCCTAGTTACGTGAGTATTCAGGTGGACTAGGAGTACTAGTTGGTCTTCAAGATATGTGAGAGGTGTTCACGCCAACATTGTGGGCGACGGTCGGATGTGTTGTGCGACTGGGCACAGAAACCAATAAAGAGTGAGGGTCGCGTGAGGTTTTCCCTGGGTCGCGAGTTGTGTTTCAAACCAAAGAGGGTTACCCTGTTTTTTGCGACTTCAAGTTCAAGAATCTTGAACTTGAAAAATACCATGCTGTACTCGGGCTTTAAACGGACGGCGCTTATATCCGGGGCCATACGGTACATGCATTCATTAATGCTTAACACCCCCCCCCCCCCCCCCCTCCCCCCCCCGCTTCCCCCTCCCGCCCCCCTTCTCTCCTCCCTACACAAATTGCACCTATTCATCCCATATCTGCAACACCACATGAAACAACCATCATGAAAATTATGCACGATACAATCTCAAAAACCTACTCTACATGACACGCGCGAGCTGGCACTCGGTGGCGTTGATCATGGAGCAGCTATTGCCGTTGCCAAAGTGCAGCTTCTGTACGCAGGGCCGGAAGTCCCACGCATACACATACACAAAGTTGACCGTCTCCCCGGGGAGCATCTGCAGAGTGCCGTTAGCACCGCGGTTCATACGCATCTCACAATACCCCGGCAGGGTCTGCACGAAAATGTCGCTGGTCTAGTGCATAGGGTTAGGTGCAGGGTTGGCGAGGATGCCCTCCCACACGTGTGCCCATACGCTGCAAAGAGTAGGTGGGGAAAAGGTGGGGAGGGAACAAGCAAATAATTATGTGAAGTAGGGAAGTGAGTGCTGAGAGGGGGCGGGCAACTGAGTGATGAGGGGGAAAGGAAAATGAGTGCTGAGGGGGGGAGGGAAGTGACTGCTGAGGTGACCAGGGAAATGAGTGGCAAGGGGAGGAGATAGGCAAGCGTCACGGGGAACAGGGACGGCAGTGGAAGGAAGGGGAGCAGCAATGCAAAGGGACCAAGGCAAGTAGAGAGGGAGAGGACGGAAGAGCAGCGCGTACAGGTGGCGAGGGCCTTACGGCGGGGGATTTGGTCGAGGTATCCGGGAGGAGGGACATTGTGAGCGAAGGTCTCAGCAGCCAGGATGCGCCCGAACTTCCTCTGCTGACTTGCCCTCGCCTCGCTAGGCGCGCCAACATCCCCTAGGAGCATGGCCTGGGCTGCCTTCTGTCAAAATGTCATTAGCTGTGTAGGCTATAGTGGTGTACTCAATAGAGAGTACAACCCTTTTAGGGTTCCTATATGTAAACCCCTCTTTTGTTTCACATTCCTACCCGTGGATTCTAACATGCTATCAGAGCATCTACGCTCCTGGCCTGTGGGCCCACCTGCTTCCGCTGCTGTACTGTCTGTCGCGCACCCCGTGGCGCGCGACATTTTTTTTCCTTCCCGCCACGCGCTCGGGGCGCGTGGCGGTTTTCTGCCCGCCACGCGCTCGGGGCGCGTGGCGGTTTCCTGCCCGCCGCACACCCCGGGCGCGCGCGGCGGTTTCACGCTCCGCCGCGGCGCCCCCGGGGACCCGCGTGCTCCCCCCGTCGTCCGTCGCGGCGCCCCCAAAGACCCGCGCGCTCCCCCCGTCATCTGTCGCGGCGCACCCAGGGACCCGCGCGTCGCCCCTGTGGACCCGCGAGTCGCCCCCCGTGTCAGAACATTATAGCTTGCTTATTTGGACCCTGGCCCCGCCGCCCTTAGCTACGCGGCCCCGCCGCCCTTACGTCGCGGCCCCGCCGCCCTCACGTCGCGGCCCCGCCGCCTCACCTACGCGGCCCTGCCGCCCTTACCTACGCGGCCCCGCCGCCCTTACCTACGCGGCCCCGTCGCCCTTACGTCGCGGCCCAGCCGCCCTCACGTCGCGGCCCCGCCGCCCTCACCTACGCGGCGCCGCCGCCCTCACCTACGCGGCCCCGCCGCTCTTACGTCGCGGCCCCGCCGCCCTCACGTCGCGGCCCCGCCGCCCTCACGTCGCGGCCCCGCCGCCCTCACCTACGCGGCGCCGCCGCCCTCACCTACGCGGCCCCGCCGCTCTTACGTCGCGGCCCCGCCGCCCTCACGTCGCGGCCCCGCCGCCCTCACCTACGCGGCGCCGCCGCCCTCACCTCATCGGCCTCGCCGCCCTCACTTCCGCGGCCCCGCCGCCCTCACCTTCGCGGCCCCGCCGCCCTCACCTTCGCGGCCCCGCCGCCCTCACCTTCTCGGCCTCGCCGCCCGTGCCTACGCGGCCCCGCCGCCTTCACCTTCGCGGCCCCACCGGTCTCCCCTCCTGCCGAGCCGCCCGAGCAGCCGCCCGCCACGCCGCCCGGTACCAGAGCAGCCGACCCGCCCAGCAGCAGCCGCCGAGCCGCAGTCCAGCCGAGCCGCCCAGCAGCAGCCGCCGAGCCGCCGGGCCGCCGAGCCGCAGTACAGCCGAGCCGCCCAGCAGCAGCCGCCGGGCCGCCGAGCCGCAGTACCGCCGAGCCGCCCCGCAGCCGAGCCGCACTACTGCCGAGCCGCCCGACCTGCC